CCCCCCCTCCCTCCCAAAGAAAAAACCTATTTTTTTCTCTCTGCATCTCCATTCAAAACCCTATTACCAAGATAGAGTTTAGGTCATGATCTTTGCCGCTAAAGCACTAGACCGGAGCTAGTGCTCTCTATCTAACCTCCATTGATGATGATTTGTGTTATGAGAGCATTTTTTTTCACCAGTTAATTCTAATTTTTTTTTATCTTATTATGAATACACATTAGGATTTGGGGATTTTGATGGACTCTTATGTGAACGTCAGCAGGCGGTTTCAAAGCATGTGGGGGCCACACGAGTAGCGTCTCGTGATAGACCAGGCTAAGTCCACCCGATACCACTTGCAACTATATATAGCCTTTAATTGGTCATCTAGGTTTTTTAGCGAAGGAGATTTTGTTTTTTTTTGTTTTGCGGCTGCTGGAAAAATCGCGACCCGACAGAGGAGAGCAGAGGAGAAAAATTGGCTGTCTCTTCTAGGGTTTCGTGCAAGGGTGTGTTTTGGCAGCTGTCTTTTGAGAGAGATATTTGTGTGAGGGATTTGAGAGCTTGGTTGAGGGTTTAAGTTGTGTGATTGTAAATCCTAGTTGTATTCTCTCCCTCTAAAAGTAGATCTCCCCACTCCTTCCCCCGTGGACGTAGGCAATTTGCCGAGCCATGTAAAATTGATTGTCTCACTTTTGTGTGATTTGTAATAGCTTATTTAGGTTCCCTCGACAGGTCAGCCCTAGAACTGATGAGAGGAATGGCTGATATCCCACTTTGTTGAGATATTTTGCTTAAGGTTCTTGTTTCCTTTGTGAAACAAGATTTCATATTGTGACCTGACTCTCTTGTTGTACTGCCGAAGTGTTGCCGAAATTTTTGCTGCGCGCAACAAGTGGTATCAGAGTCCAGATTTCAGATCTAGGTGTTTGGAATTAGGTGGAGGAAGATTCTTATGTGAAACTTAGTTCTTGGAGTTCTAGGCTTCGGTGGAGATAGCATTAGGAGTTGTCGTTGGAGATTTTGCTTTTCTCGTGTGAACAAGAGATCTATTTGGAATCCGATCTAGGGTTTAGTTGGGTAATTTTAAATTTCTATCAAAGTTTGATTCTTTTTCTATAACTTGGAGTTAGTTTGCAATGGGAGAAGAAGGTGAAAGCAGCAAGTCGATGGCGAGTACAGTTCAAGTTGGTTTTCAGAACACCAAAATTAGTGTGGTAAAATATGACGGTAAAATCAACTTTGGTTTGTGGATGAGCGACGTACATGATGCGCTCAATGCTCAGAACTTAGAGGAGACCATCATGGTCCACGAGAGATCACCAAAATATAAAGAGGCGATATGAGAAAGGATGAATAGGAACGCTTGTGGGGTGATCAGGTCCTGTTTGGAACAGAAGCTGAAGTATGATGTGATTGGGGTGACGTTTGCAATGAAGATTTGGGAAATTCTCAACAATAAGTACCTTACGAAGAGTGTTGAGAACCGGTTGCACTTGCTGCGCGGGTTATTCAGATTTCAGATGTCCAGAGGCACATCGCTTGCGGCTCATGTGAACAACTATACGAAGTTGTTGTCGGACTTGGCGAATGTTGATGAGAAGATATCAGATGAGTACAAGGCTATTATCTTATTGGGCTCCTTACCGAATGAGGAGTATGACACCTTTGTGTTCACTTTGTTGAACAGGAGATCTTCTATCAGCTATAGTGAAGTTACTAATGCATTGATGAATTATGATTTGAGGAGGAAGGACAAGGAGACTCCCGTGCTAGTACTTCAGGCAAGGCCTTGTCGACGAGATGTAGAAGCCCATATCCGAAAGGGGGTAATAGAGGGAGGTCAAAGTCAAGAGGTCATCACCAACTTGGAAAGAACAAATGCGTATTCTGCAAGGAGCAGGGACATCGCTTGCGGCTCATGTGAACAACTATACGAAGTTGTTGTCGGACTTGACGAATGTTGATGAGAAGATATCAGATGAGTACAAGGCTATTATCTCATTGGGCTCCTTACCGGATGAGGAGTATGACACCTTTGTGCTCACTTTGTTAAACGGAAGATCTTCTATTAGCTATAGTGAAGTTACTAATGCATTGATGAATTATGACTTGAGGAGGAAGGACAAGGAGACTTCCTATGCTAGTACTTCAGGCGAGGCCATGTCGATGAGAGGTAGAAGCCCATATCCGAAGGGTGGTAATAGAGGGAGGTCAAAGTTAAGAGGTCGTCACCAGCTTGGAAAGAACCAATGCGCATTCTGCAAGGAGCAGGGATATTAGAAAAGAGATTGTCCAAAGATCAAAGAGAATGAGAATAGAAAGAAAAAGGGCTTGAAGGCCAATGAGGTGAACGTTGCGAAAGACGATGATTCCGATGATTCGAGCTTTTCTCTATTGATTACTGGTGAACGTTGCGAAAGACGATGATTCCGATGATTCGAGCTTTTCTCTATTGATTACTCCGGAGGTGAACCACTTGGATGCATCAAGACGATGATTCCGATGATTCGAGCTTTTCTCTATTGATTACTCCGGAGGTGAACCACTTGGATGCATCAAATTGGATGCTTGATTCCCACGCTACCTATCATGTGACCCCTAGGCGAGATTGGTTTACATCGTTCAAGAGACTCAATGGGGGTGTTGTTGTCATGGGAAATGATCAATCCTGTGGCATTTGTGGGATAGGTACCGTACGGATTCGGATGCACGATGGAGTAGTCTGTGAATTAAAGAAGGTGAGATTTGTTCCTCAGCTGAAGAAAAATCTTATCTCAGTTGGAGCTTTGGAGGCAAAAGGATTCAATGTGACCTTTGAAGACGCTATAGCAAAGGTTACTAAGGGATCTTTGATGGTGATGAAGGGAGTCCGCAGTTGAAACTTGTATTATCTAAAGAGGAGCACCGAGATTGGCCAGGTCACTTCGGCTATTTTAAAGGCGGACATGAGTAGGCTTTGACATTATAGGTTAGGGCACACAGGCGAGAAATCACTGCAGGCGCTGTGCAAGCATGGGCTATTGAAGAGAGCCAAGAGTGGTAAAGTAGAATTCTATGAGCACTATGTTCTTAGCAAGAAGATGAAGGTGAAGTTTGGGATGGCCATTCATAGGATGATGGGCATCTTGGACTACGTCTACACAGACGTTTGGGGTCCCACAAAGACTGCATCACTTGGTGGTCACCATTGGTTCGTCACGTTTGTTGATGACTATTCTAGGCGATGTTGGGTGTACACCATGGCAAAGAAGAGTAAAGTCCTAGATATATTCGTGGAGTGGAAGAAGAGATTAGAACTGAAAGAAGAGTAAAGTCCTAGATATATTCGTGGAGTGGAAGAAGAGATTAGAACTGCAGACTGGGAGAAAGATCAAGACGTTGTGGAGTGGAAGAAGAGATTAGAACTGCAGACTGGGAGAAAGATCAAGACGTTGCGATCCAACAACGGTGGTGAACATACTTCAGACCCCTTTCTGCAGCTATGTCGAGACGAGGGCATAGAGAGGCACTATATGGTTAGTCATATACCACAGCAGAATGGGGGGAGCAGAGAGGTTAAATCGGTCTTTGCTGGAGAAGATCCGATTTTTATTGTCACAGAATGATTTGGAGAAGATCTTTTGGGCTGAGGCACTTACATATACGAGCCACCTTATTAATAGGCTACATTCATCTTCGATTGAGGGGAAGACCCCTATGGAAATATGGTCGGGAGAGCCAGCACACGATTATGACCAGCTTAAGGTATTTGGGTGCCTTGCATTTTATCATGTGAGAACAGATAAATTGGAACCTCGAGCTAGGAAGACCATATTTGTAGGATTCAAGTGTGGTGTTAAGGGATACAGGCTATGGGATCCAGTTGATAGGAAGATTGTGCTGAGTAGAGACGTCACGTTTGATGAGGCTTCTATCTTGAAGCTTCCCAGCTCTTATCAGGTGGAGAGTGACCCGATGGAGGAGATATCGCAGGTGGTGGAGATCGATGCAGCTCCACATTGTCCAGATGGTACAGTATCCATTAGAGTGTCGACTGAGGTGACGCTCAGGTTTAGGATTCTATTATGATTCGAAAACAGATGAGAGACATACGGATACCAACATGGTATGCTGACACAGTTGCGTATGCACTTCCGGTGGAGAGTATCGATGAGATTGTGCCTACTACATTCAGAGAGGCCGAGCAAAGTTCGGAGGCTGATTCGTGGTAGGTAGCTATACAGGAGGAGATGGAGTCTCTTCATAAGAACGATACATGAGAGCTGGTTGAGCTTCTAAAGGGACGGAAGGCAATTGGTTGCAAGTGGGTATACACAAAGAAGGAGGGCATTGAGGGCACTCCATTAAGGTTCAAAGCTAGGTTGGTTGTGAAGGGCTATGCACAGGAGGAAGGAATAGATTATAATAAGGTTTTCTCTCTAATGGTGAAGCACTCTTCAATTCGAATTTTGCTAGATTTGGTGTCACAGTATGGTTTGGAGTTAGATAAGTTAGATATGAAGACGACATTTCTTCATGGTGACCTTGATGAAGAAATATATATGACTCAGCAATTGGGATTCCAAGCTACAGGGAAGGAAAAATTAGTTTGCAGATTAAAGAAATCTCTATACGGTTTGAAGTAGTCTCCTCGACAGTGGTATAGGCGATTCGATGGTTTTATGATTTGTTATTCGTACACTCGGAGCCAGTTAGATCCTTACGTATATTTTCGCAAGTTGAAAGGAGGTGCGTACATCTATTTGTTACTTTATGTCGATGACATGTTGGTTGCATGTATTTTCAGATCTGCTATAGATGAGTTGAAGGCACAACTCTCAAAGGAGTTTGAGATGAAGGATTTGGGTGAGGCGAAGTGCATTTTAGAGATGAAGATCGGTATAGATAAGAAGAAGGGTAGAATTTGTTTAACACATGTAGCTTATTTGAAGAAGATTCTACAGCGATTTCATGTTAGCATGGATACAAAGCCAGTTAGTGTACCACTGGTAGCCCATTTGAAGCTTTCAGATGACCTTTCACCGAAGTCAGTTGAAGATCGAGAGTTGATGTCGAAGACTCTATATGCGAGCGTGATTGGAAGCTTGATGTATGCGATGGTATGTACGAGACCGGATTTATCACAGGCGATGAGCATGATTTCGAGATACATGCACGATCTTGGAGTGGGTCATTGGGACACCGTGAGATGGATTTTGAGGTACATTCGAGGTACATTCAATGTTGGTTTAGTTTATGAACGGGACACTACAGGTGGGCAGCTATGCATTGGTTATGTTGATTCGGATTATGTCGGGGATTTGGATAAACGCTGGTCTACAACGGGGTATGTGTTCACTTTGACCCGTGCGTCGGTGTGTTGGAGATGCACCTTACAATCTAGGGTGGTTTTGTCTACGATGGAGGCAGAGTATATGAAAGTTACGGAGGCTGTGAAGGAGGCTATTTGGCTTCGAGGACTTTTAGAGGAACTTGGTATATCGCAGCAGTCCGTCACCATTCATTGTGATAGCATGAGTGCTATCTATTTGGTAAAAAATCAGGTTTTTCATGTGAGGACGAAGCACATTGACGTTCGTTATCACTTTGTTTGGGATGTTCTTCAAGATGGCGATGTGAAGATTGTGAAAGTCCATACGAAGGATAATCCGGTGGATATGCTCACTAAGGTGGTTCAGAGCAACAAGTTTGATCATTATCGAAACTTGTTGCAAATTCGTGATTGTTGAAGTCGTTGAGGCCATTTGAATGAACTACGGACGACTTGATTCCTTGGGCAAGAGGATACGTAGGCAGTCATTTATGATGCAGCCGATTTGAGAGTAGATATCGACGTTTGGAGTTTGTTCGCATTCTCATTTGGGTTCTCGACTTGTTATGGATTGAGTCCGTTGTCGTGAATTAACTTCACGACATACTGGACATAACAAGTGGGACATTTGGTTGCTTTGGCATCGGCTCAGTTTTGAAAAAACTTCGCCGATGTGGAGAATTGTGAACATCAGCAGGCGGTTTCAAAGCGTGTGGGGGCCACACGAGTAGTGTCTCGTGACAGACCAGGCTAAGCCCACCCGATACCACTTGTAGCTATATATAGCCTTTAATTGGTCATCTAGGTTTTTTAGCGAAGGATATTTTGTTCTTTTTTTGTTTTGCGGCTGCTGGAAAAATCGCGACCTGACAGAGGAGAGCAGAGGAGAAAAATTGGCTGTCTCTTCTAGGGTTTCGTGCAAGGGCGTGTTTTGGCGGCTGTCTTTTGAGAGAGATATTTGTGTGACGGATTTGAGAGCTTGGTTGAGGGTTTAAGTTGTGTGATTGTAAACCGAGTTGTATTCTCTCCCTCTAATAGTAGATCTCCCCCCTCCTTGCCCCGTGGACGTAGGCAATTTGTCGAACCACATAAAATTAGTTGTCTCGCTTTTGTGTGATTTGTAATAGCTTATTTAGGTTCCCTCGACAGGTCAATCCTAGAACTGATGAGAGGAAGAGATGATATCCCACTTTGTTGAGATATTTTGCTTAAGGTTCTTGTTTTCTTTATGAAACAAGATTTCCTATTATGACCTGACTCTCTTGTTGTGCTGCCGAAGTATTGCCGAAATTTTCGTTGCGCGTAACATCTTAACTAATTACTTAACAATTCTAATAATGCTTATGGCTAATGGTGGTGAACGATTGCCAATACAGATAAATTTTGAGGAATTCTCTTTAATGGAGCAAGGAGAGCTTTTCTCATCTCAAAGGACTAACCTTTTCTTTAATTTAACTTTTCATTTTATTGTGATTTTAGTTGATTGATTTTTCATCGATGTTATTAGGTGAAGCATGAAACTTTGTGGATTTTTTATGATATCCATTTGGTCGACTAGTATATCAAAAAGTTGATGTATTATACACAATTTTAATGTATTACTTTTATAAAATTATGATAGGGAAGTTTTAAAATTTAGTACTACTGCTATCTATTTGTGCCAGTTTGATACACTTGTGGCATTACTCCACATAACAAATTGAACTTTCGTAGTACCTAACTTTGTGAATATGATACACGTCACTAGTACAAAACTGGTCTGTCCAAACGGTTATTTGAACCGTTTGGACAAGTCAAAATAGCCCAAACGGTTGCACCCGTTTGGACTAATATTTCCCAAACGGTTAAAACTGTTTGGGTGATTAAAAGTTCCCAAACGGAGCTCCCAAACGGTTTAAACTGTTTGGAATATTTTACCCCAAACGGGTTCAACCGTTTGGGAACTATATTAGGGTTTTAAAATAATAATTTTACAATTAATGATTTTCTCCCCAACTTTTTCACAGTGGCGCCCAAAATTTTCACCCAGAAAACCAGCGGCGCCAAAAATTCATCCGAAAATTAATTTTCACCGCTCCCCAAATTAATTTTCACCGCTATATGTTCTCCCCAGCCTCTCAAATCCGCCTCCACCTCTCAAAACCAGCGGCGCCAAAAATCGATCTTCGCCTCCGCCTCAACTTTGCCGGCCAACGG